ACAAGCAAAAAGGCAATTCCGTTTCCTAGATCGCCAGAACGCCTACTGAAAATAAATTCAGTAGAAATGTGGCGGCGCATATAGTGTTTCCGTTATTAACACTGCTGTCTCAATGGGTTGAAGCTGGGCTACAAACAACTTTGGAGAACCATTGAGAGGTCAGAAACATGAGTATTAGAACAAGGAACTTATAAACCTGATGTTTCGGAAGCGCACTCGAACCTATCATAAAAGTCAGCAGCAGACATTACAGCGTTTATGAGGCGTAATTTAAGTTTTTGATACGACCGCTTCATGCTATCTACTTCTCTTAAAAAGACCATAAACTTCCATCCAGTGCAACATATATCAATTAAACTGATTTGAGTATATACCTAGGTAGACATTAATTCGTTCAAAATAAGCTTCCTGGGCTATCCACGACATTCGGTAGAATGCGAGATCCTTTGACGGCACTGAACTATACCGAAGTTTCAATGATGACGAGATTCCTTGCTGTGAATGCTGAAGTCTGATGTGCCCTAGTAGAAGCGGAGTTTTAAAAAACGCCCTTAATGTTAAAGCGGTTGCTTCAGGTTTGGAGGTCACGACGTACGGTAAGGCTCCTACTGTCTTCTGCATCCAATCAAGCAGACGCTCGTTCCTCGTTAAATCCAATCGGAAGGTCTGGAAAACTACAATCTTGGAATATCGAATTGAGACATCGTTTGTGAGTTCCGAAACTATAAACAACTTTGGAAAGTTTAATGAGTGATGTTTTTGTCACATTCCCCGAAAATGTTTCTCTGGCTGCGGCTCACAAGAACCATTACGCAACCGATACGAAGCATGACTGATCGACTGCGTCCCTAAATGCCAACTAAGTCTGGTTCACATGCCCTGCCAACCAGGAGAAACCACTCGAGATGCTATCTCACTTCTAATTACCTGGCAAGAACGACAAGACAGCCAATGAAGAACATGAAAATGGACGCTGAACGTGTTCTTGTATGACGTCGGAGATACAAATAAATTCACTATGCATCCCCCAGCCCTCCAGTCCTAAGTTAAAACCCTACGAAGATTTCTGAGTAAATCTAAGAACAGAGAGAGACCGTCAATCTTAGGTCTTCGTTGGTGCAAAGGGGGAAGGCGTCTCACAACTTGATATTCCACTGTCTCGCCTGTCATGTCAGCCAAAGGTCAGAAAAGGATACCATCTAAAGAGGAATAGGCAACCATTGTGGAGAATGCACCCGGCCTCAAAGAAAATCTCATCATGAGGACAGACTGTGTTTGTCTGCTAGTCCAAGTAGGACCGACTCAGAGGATCTATAGGGGGAGCACATTGCAACACCCCCCACAGAGGGTGAGATGCGAGTCGGACGCAATGGCTGCGCGTGAACTGTGACAATGGGATCTTCAGATGGGACC